AATGGCTCTGACAGTACATCTTTACAGCCTTTCAATAAATATCTTGGTATTTTGTCTGGACCTATCGATTTTTTGTTCTTTAATTTGGATATAGTTTCATAGACGTCTTGTACAGAAACAGTGGAAAGCGTAAGAGGAGATTCAAAATTCAGAGAATCGCTAATCTCAATTTTGGTTGAATTTTGGAGAAGTTGATAAACGGATTCAAAATGTTGAGCAAATGCATTTGCTATGTTGAAACCACCTGCGAAGGTGTCATTTCCTAGAATTATTTCACATGGGATATCATTTGTTGTTTTCTTTTTTTTTTTGACTTTATGAAACTCCAGAATTCCTTAGGATCCAGTTGCATATTTTGCTCAACATTCTGAATGTACCTTCTGTATGCTATCTTAATATCTTTGTTAACTTTCGTCCTTAGAACTTTAATATTCTTCGCATTGTTTTATATTGCTGAGTTGTAAGCTCCGGTCTACAATATTATCATGTAATTTTACATTTTTGAGGTGTAAAATTAAAATGTAGTTTTACCATTACGAATGTAGAAATACATTTGGTATTTTAACACGTTAAACGCCATGGTGGGCCCTAGGGACCGCCAAAGGAAGTACCCTCTACGCCACGGAGGTCCCCAGGGACCACTCGGATGTATTTTTTTTACTCTGTTAGATTTAATGTGTATTTACCATGTTAATATATATAAAAATATAAATAAATATAAACATAAAACTCAAACATTTCAATAAGTCGGAATTTATGTATAATACTGAAAGAGCGTTAAGCCTTTCTTGTGAAAGCGACTTCCTTAAATATGTTTTAACTCTTTTTAGAGTAGAGTAATGGCTTGCGTTTGTCACCATAAGGGTCAAGAAAATTCTTAAAATGATTTCGACGTTTGAAACGTTGAAACAATATTATTGGAATGCAATAAATGCATCAAATTTTTAGCATTTGACACGGAACATTCTCTGTCAGGAGAAATTATTTTTTTTAGCTGGACACATTCAATACCAAAATATTGTTGATCTAGGTCAGATTGATAAACTAAAGCTAAATCGTTGGCAGCATTTAATATGTTTTCATCCTCTAGAGATTTTAATGAAAAAAGAAATAGGAATGGCTTTATTGCAGTTTCATAAGCCTGTCCTTTTTTTCCAAATCACAAATAATTTGGTCTAATATTCTATAAAATACATAGGTACGCATCTTGTCTCTTGGAGTTTGAATATATCGCATAAATCGGTAGAAATTTAAAGAAAGTACGAAGCACGTTAGAAAACGCTAATGTTTGTTTATAAAAAGATTGTTACCTTCCTGTAAGGACTTTTCTTGAAAAAAATTGTGGAGTTTTGGTGTCTTTTGCAACACTTTATTTAGTTTGGATTCTTTTTCAGTTTTTCGGCGTGTCCAAAATGCTCCGCCCTCTTTTTTTCCCATTGTAATGTAATGAACACACAAAATATCTATTTATTCAGCTAAACTGCTAAACATAATATTTATAATTACTATTATTTCGCAAGATTAACTTCATCGTCACCCCACTCTACCCCAAACGCAATGACTATAAAATAATTTCTATTTCTTTTCGCAACTTACTTACAAACGGCCTCTTTTGTTTTTCGGCATATTTTTTATCGGTATATCGCGGAAGCAGCGGCGCGGCGCCGACGCACGACGACGCGCCGGGCCGCGGCGTATTGAAGGTGCTGGTGTTGAATAATTGTTTTTTGTCGGCGGGCGAGCAAGCCCTCAAAGACACTTTTTTTTAATAATTCTAGTTAGTGCATAGTAGCCCATTTGTCAATTAAAAATATATGTTTTAATCTTGTACTTTCTCAAGATTTAAATAAATATGTTTAAAGTATAGGTACAATATAGGAACCAAAATTTCAGTCTGCTTTGCTAACACACCGTCAAAGAGGCGAAATAAATTCTTAATTTTTTTTAACACCGCCTCTTACCGCCTTTCAAACTTTGCCGCCGGGTGCTATTAGTACCACTAGCACCCCCCTAAATCCGGCCCTGGTACTAACAAAACCGGGAAGTCCTATGTTAGAGACATGGTACAGAAATTCTCCGTTCCGAAAAACAGTTCGGAAACCCTAATACTCCGAATTAGGTTTCAGAACCGGGAAAAGCCGATTTTGAAAGTACCGAGAATTCCCGGATCTTTTTACTCATCACAGAACCGGGCCTCGAAATTAATTCCCTGTTTTTTCGGGACTCAGTAACAAAAATAATTAAAAAAATATTTTTCTGTTACCTACGTGAGAAAGTGTAATGCTATTTCTTATTCTTACTTTTCTTTTCTCTTTTGAAGTTTCTATACTTACTGAAGTTCAAATATGTTATTTTATTATTTAGTATGTTTTGTTCAATGTATTAGTTATATTTTATGTTGGTTATAGATATTTGCACTTTTAATTCAATATTTTAAGTTTTTTTTGGCAAATTTAGTAAAGTTGGTTTATGTTGTTTGATGTGAATTTTAAGTTACCTATAATATCTTTTCTTTGCTTTGTTCGTGTTATTGTTATGTATATTATTGTGTTCGTGTTATTGTTATGTATATATGTTACGGTTAAAGTTCGATGTCCGGTTAATGTCGACATTAACATGTTAATGTTTGGGTTAGGTTATGTTTTTGGTTGTTTTGTTGTGTGTTATTCTCGAGATTAACCGGGTAATGTCGACATTAACCGGACATCGGACCTTAACCGTAACATATATATTAGTATGGACTTATGTAATAATTAGATATATTATTTTCATTAAAAACTTTAAATTTTTATCGATTTTACTTTGTAAAACCATCCCTTGCTTGCTGATAGATGAGCTGTACAATCATTAGGTAAACAAAAATTTGCTAGTACTGAAAGTACCAACAAATACCCATTTTTTTCTTTGCGCTTTTGTATTCATGTTTGGGTTCGTGTTAATTGTCTCTTACTTAATAATTTGATATTATTTTCATTAAAAAATTTTATCGATATTACTTTGTAAAACCATCCATTACTTTCTGATTTATGAACTGCACCATTTGACTAGGTGTCCAATTTCCAATAGTTTTCCATTGGATACCCGGGATACAGTGAAATATTCGAAAATATTTTGTGATATCAAAAAGAAAAGTTGATCAGAAAAGATCGGGAATGAAATAAAATGTAAAACAAAAAAAGACGAAAGGATCTTACCCAGCGTTGTTACAAGGGCAAAAATTTTTGTACTATAAATGGTGTCGAAATTGTACTTTTTTAAGTGGGATTGTACATTTTTGGTGCAAAAATGTGGGGTCATGTGATCTCTCTATTTACCTTTTTACCAAGTTTTGGTACGTAGTAGGGTGCATCCACACTATCCTAAAAACAGCGGAACGGCGTATTGGCTTAACGACCTTGAATCGATTTCCTGCAGTTCTATTGGCTGAAATTTTTGCCAGGTGAATTTGACAGATAAAATTTCTGACAGATGAATTTTTCAGCCAATAGAATTGCTGGAAATCGATTCAAGGTCGTTACGCCGATACGCCGCCGCCGATCCGCTTTTTTTAGGATAATGTGGATGCACCCTCACAGAATTATACACCATATGCTATCCTCCTTTCACGCAGTTGAGCAGCTCTGAACCTAAGCTCTGAACTGTTTAAGAACGCGATACTCTCCCTCCATTCAATTGAGTCATAAAGTTCAGAACTGGTTCCGCGCCATATGGAGGCACCAGGCTATCTCGCACAGCTCCTTTCAGAACTGTTCTGAGCAGCCCAGGGCGTAAAGCTAGCATATTCTGCACATAAAAATAAGTGAAAACGTTCGTATTAATGTATGTCTTAAAATGCTTAGTTTCGGAGATACAGGGTGTAGAAATTTCATTTTTATTTCCATTTTTTTCAAATAGCTTCTAAAGTAACGTCAATATTGGGATGAAAATTCGTATCTGGGAGTTTTTTGACATGAGAAATTTGAATTTGATGTCAACATGACTCCTTGTCATTGGCGCCTTATATGGGGCGCCATCTACATGTGTTTTAACTGTTTTGAAGGGTAATAACTTTTCGTCCGTACCTGTATAATAAAACTACTGAGTAAAAAAATATACATTTCCATGACTTTTTACGTAAAAAACGTCTCTTAGCAAAAATCGCTACGAGCCACCGTTCTCAAGATATTTAGAATGAAAATAGTCAATACATGTCATTATTGACAAAAAATAAACATGTTGAGTAGATAGTTATTTGACTAAAATAATAAATTTGGTAAATTTTTATTTTTTTAAATTAATCATACATTTTTCTGCAAAAAAATTATGATAAAACAGTTTCTGTTAAACTTTTGGCACAAAAACATTTCAAATTTATGATTTCGATCTAATAACTATTTAGCCAACATATTTAATTTATGTCAATGATGAAAGTAATTGATAATTTCGATTTCAAATATCTCGAGAACCATTACTCGTAGCGATTTTTACCAAGAGACCTTTTTTACGTAAAAAACGTCGTAAATGTATATTTTTTGACTCAGACTTTCCGTTTTATACAGATACGGACGAAAAGTTATTACTCATCAAACCAGTTAAAAAATATGTAGGTGGCGCCCTCTACAAGTAGGAGTCATATTGGTATCAAAATAAATTTCTCATATCAAAAAACTCCCAGACACCAATTTTCATCCAAATATTGACGTTACTTCAGAAATTATTTGGATAAAATGGAAATAAAAATGAAACTTCTACACCCTGTATCTCCAAAACCGAGCATTTTATTTCATACATTTATATGAACTTTTTTACCTATTTTTATCTGCAGAATATGCTGCCGAAATTTCCGGAATACAGTTCGGACCACCCTGTATATTATCTTTTAAAATAAATCAAAAATTCAAGTTTTTACCAAAACATCATATTTGAAGATCTATTTTCTTGAACTAATACTTCAGGAGTAATTTGGGCAATACTAATTGATACAAAATATTGATATACATACCTAATTTATCCCATGAGAGATGTCTGTCAAAATTATATATTCTCTCACTGGACTTATACTCGAGTTACTCTCAAAATCTTTGGCTCAAATTAACCTTTACATTATGTTCATATTTGTAGGTCATGTTAACTTTTCTGATGAAGTAACAGCTGCTATGCGTTTATGTGATGGTGTAGTTCTGTTTATCGATGCAGCCGAGGGAGTCATGTTAAATACTGAACGGCTATTAAAACACGCTGTACAGGAGCAAATGCAAATCACAATTTGCATTAATAAAATTGATCGGCTGATGTTAGAACTAAAATTACCTCCACAAGATGCTTACTATAAGCTGAGACATATTGTAGAGGAAATAAATGGACTACTAACGTAAGTAATTGAAATAATAGTTGGATGTAAGCAATACCAAAAAAAATCTAAACAAACTTACTTTAAAAAATGTCTATATCTATATTGCGGATTCATCTCTCCAAAAAATCTTATATGGGTATTTTGCCACTGCAAGAAAATCTACAAAATAAAATAGTTATTTTTTGTAAACACTTCTGCGTTAATCCCAAACGGAAACTACTTGTCAGAAGTTAGGTTTACAGATATACAAATTTGCCTAACGAACAAAAAAATTCTTAACGTTTCGGAAAGTTTATCTCTTTCCGTCGTCAGAAGCAAAAAAAAGACAAAGAATAAAAAAAACTATTTAAAATATTTAAATTCAACTAACGAAGTTTAACTTGATATACTAAACAGAACGTCAACGGTTTTTGTAGACGTATCTGTTTTAAAAAACTAAAGTGATCTCGAATAGTTGAATTTAAATATTTTAAATAGTTTTTTTTATACTTTGTCTTTTTTTTGCTTCTGACGACGGAAAGAGATAAACTTTCCGAAACGTTAAGCATTTTTTGTTCGTTAGGCAAATTTGTATATCTGTAAATCTAACTTCTGACAAGTAGTTTCCGTATGGGATTAACGCAGAAGTGTTTACAAAAAATAACTATTTTATTTTGTAGATTTTCTCGCAGTGGCGAAATACCCATATAGGATTTTTTGGAGAAACTTTCTTTTTTTTTAACTACACTATTGAAAATAATTTTTACTCAATATATATGTATGGTACTACTGTAAGCAATAAGCAAATATAAATAAAAATATATTTTTTTTATATTTCAGTTTATATTCAGATGACGCTAACCCACAGATTGTTTCTCCTGTTCTTGGAAATGTATGTTTTGCAAGTGCCCAATATGGCGTATGTTTCACACTAAAGTCTTTTGCAAATATATACAACTTGTATTATGGAGAGGTCAATGTGGAAGAGTTTTCAAAGCGATTATGGGGTGACATTTATTTTAATCCTAAAAAGTAAGTGCCAAAGTAAAAATGTACGATAAACGTAAATACGCAGCTTTTATTATTATAGTAGACGACCTTAGGAATGGGATTTCTCCGATGTATTGATAATTATCAATATTTAGTGATATATCGAAAAAAACAATAAGTGACTTTGAATTTATCGACATATCAAAAAATATCGATGTCAGTACTTCTTGATATATTGGCACCTATGATATATGTATCGTCACCTATCTATGAGTGTATTCATTGCATTATCATAAGCATCTGTTATTGATATCTATCGATATATTATAGATAGCAGTCAAAATATGCATATGTGGGTCGGTAGTTATTGATATTTATTTTTGTGGGTATATTTTTATTTGCCCTTTTAAAAACCTGAATATTAGTTGAACAGTTCAAAATTATTATTTAAAATACGGTATATTGGATTTTCTGTTTTCCTAAAATTTTATGAGATAGGTTTTTATATTAGATACCTACGATTAGGGCTAGGTCTTTTTCCTAGAATAACAGGCGACTTCAAAATTATCGGTATATCGATAGGTGAATTGCAGTAACTTGTCGATAGATAAAATTCATTATCGCCCATTCCTAGTCATCTTTAAAAAGTAAACATTATAACAATTGTAATTATTTTAGTCGTAAATTTACAAAAAAAGCTCCCCATAATTCAGCCCAGAGAAGTTTTGTTGAGTTTATACTTGAACCACTTTATAAAGTATTTGCTCAAGTGGTAGGCGATGTAGACACAACCCTGCCTAAAGTTCTGGATGAGCTAGGAATTAAATTAAACAAAAATGAAATGAAATTAAATATTAGACCATTACTGCGATTAGTGTGTAATAAATTTTTGGGTGATTTTAACGGTAAGTGATTATACTTAAATTATTTATTTCACATAATTGAATTTTCTTATGATTTTGAAGGTTTTGTTAATATGTGTGTTGAACATATAAAATCGCCATTAGACAATGCTAAAACAAAAGTTGACCATATTTATACAGGTCCTGGTGAAACTAAAGTTTATGAGGATATGGTCAATTGCGACCAAGAAGGTCTTCTAATGGTAAGTGAATAACTTTATTTAGAAAAATATCAATTTTGACTGTGTTAAAGGATCGTGTTTCGCCATAAATTGAAAATGCTAGAATAGAAAAATTATGTGAAGCTTTTCGAGTTGTTTTGTATTGAATACGAATGTTTCAATAGTGACGTTTTCTTTTCAGCCCTTATACATATAACGTTTTATCGGTCAGTCTTACCTGTTCATTCAAAATGTGTCAAGTGAAATCTTGTGCGTAGACCAAAAAAAGGTCTGTTGGGTTGTGTTAAGATGAAAGACCGTCTGGAAAACTGACGGGATCATTCTGCCTACTTCAGTGTGAAAAAAACTGTCGTAAATATAAGTAAATTTACAAGAAATAGTGTAGATATATTACAGTATATAAGCTATAATAAGCGACTTTTAAATCTAATATTTTTGCATAGTTTTACAAAATAATCTAGTTTTATAAAATTGTTTACAGATGACAATCGCTTTTTGATTTTAAATAATATAACATAAATAAACAGAACATATGTAAAAATTAAAAATAATCATACAGAAAGTTTGGGGCTTTTTGGTTTTACCTTATTAAGTAGTTGTTAATTTTGAAGTTTAACTTCATATAATGTCATTTTAACAGAACGTTAACGGTTTTTGTAGACGTATCTGTTTTAAAAAACTAAAGTGTTCTCGAGTAGTTGAATTTAAATATTTTAAATAGTTTTTTTCTTTATTCTTTGTATTTTTTTTTGCTTCCGATGACGGAAAGAGATAAACTTTCCGAAACATTCAGCATTTTTTGTTCGTTAGGCAAATTTGTATACCTATCTGTAAACCTAACTTCTGACAAGTAGTTTCCGTATGGGATTAACGCAGAAGTGTTTACAAAAAATAACTATTTTATTTTGTAGATTTTCACGATATTTGTCGATTTTCTTGATTATTACCAAGCAATACTATTTTCACAGTTAGTTTTGCGTGTGCACAAACGAAATTTAAGCCATAAATTCAATGTTTTAGTACCTCGGCACGAAAAACGGGCACCTTAAAATTTTCATGTATTTTAGAGTTTTATACGTATATTGTCTAGAACACAATATCGGATCGATTATGATGATTTTTAAGCAACTTGTAGCTATATTATTTGGATTTAAATTTAAAAATCACTTTATCATCTAAGTGCCTGTTTCCTCGATAGTTTGTTTATTGATTCATCTCAATTGCTTTATTTTTTTGAAAGAGTCTTACCATTTTTTCGAATTTTTTACTTTAAGCCATGACTTTGCTTTTGGTCTTACTCAACAGACCTACAAAATAGTGTTGATTATAATGATTTATTTAATGTCACTGTCTTTGAAAAATCATATTATTATTGTCTGTTGGGCAGTTACTCTAGCAGATATGGTTTTAAGTCCAAAAGTTGATCTCTACCATGATCAATTAAAGCAGCAATAGCCGATACGTCGAACTTAAAACCATCTCTACTAGAGTAAACCAGAGAGAACACTAATAACTAAAGTGAGAGACCGATCAACGTTAATTTAAATCGTTTTTTAACAAGAGTGTGTTAGTGGCGCGGCCTTTGGCATCTAACCCAAAGACATCTAAATATAGGTAGACAGAACACTCCATTCATAAAACTCAATTTTTTAGAATCATACATGGTTTGGCACTTTTATGAGAGTTAAAAAGAGATAGGTACATAAATATGACAACACGGTTGAGTTTCGTCTGTCTTTCTGTCATTTCACTCCATCAGTGGCGTGACGGTGGTAACCGAATCTTAATTTTTCAAGTTTATAATAAGAAATCTTCGTAGTTTTTTTAGATTATTTTGTTGACAACGAAAATTTATTATTAGACTTTAAAGCATTAAAACCTATAAATAAAATACTGTGTAGGAACATAATAATTTATTTAACTTAGTTTGGTTTTCAGTTTTTGCAGAATTCATTTACCAGGTCTTTGGTGGGTTGTGGATTGTCTTGCCTTTTCTTGAGCTAAAAATAAATAAGTTCAATTTTTCATTAAGGTTTAATTTTACATGCTTACCAGTTTAGGTAATCCGTTTCTGTACATGTCGTAGTGTAGCCCATACTCCTTGCCATACTCCAACTCAAGGCTGCAATCTTCAATATCTTTTTTTATCTAACTTTTTTGGGGGTGAACAGGGAAGCACGGTTGGGAGCTCGCACAGAGTATCAGTAGGTATCCCGTAATTATTCAATGTTTTTGATAGTCTTTATTCTATAACAAGAACCTATCAGTTGAAGAAAATAATTTGTATTACTGGTAATAATACCAGGTATAATACCTAGTCGTTCCATAGGTATCAGAAAAGAATGTGATGTTTTGAATAAGAATGTTATGATTTATCCTATAGGTTGTGCTTATGTTAATAGCAATGTACGATTATTATGTGCACTCACTATTACTATTAGGTATGTTAAAATAATTACCGAGATAAAACTTACCTTTAAAGGAAACGTTTTGTCTGGATCTCAACCACAAAACAAAAATTACAAAAATGCCGAATAATCGTGGAATCTGAAATAATCAATAATGACAATAATCTTCTCTTCTCACAATCTAAAAGAACAGGCACATTCAGTCAAAAACAATTTATTACTCCGATTATCAACAGATTTTAACACAACAGAAAAAACTACTGACAATCTAATTAATCCAGTAAAATGTTTAACTTGCAAAGTTAAAAACTTCCATTTTTAACCGCCTAAACGCTATGCGCGTCTGGGAAGCGCGGTGACAAAATAAACTTGTCTACGAAATGCCCTATTCCACAAGCCCTCTCACTTTTGTTATCAGTTTCTCTCTGGAGTAAACGTCGATAAACAATAATAATATGACTTTTCAATGACAGTGACCTTACAAAAACAATATTCACTATTTTATAAGTAAGTATGTTGATGAGGACCAAAAATCAATACTAAAATAGCTGTAAATCGTTACTGTCTTATTCAAAAGTAAATATCTCCAATAAAAATAAAGCTATTGAGATGAATCAACAAATAAACTATCGGAAAAAGACGTACCTAGATAATAAAATGATTTTTAAATTCCTTGCATTGTTAACATATTCCACTGGGTATATGAAACTTTCACTAAAATATAAACGTTTTGTTTTCCCTCGTATAATTGACATATAGAAAGTTTCATTTTTAATTTCGGAGATACTAAAAAGTAAAATAATTTAGCTCCAAATTGCTTAAAAATCATCAAAATCGGCCCACTAGAACAAAATATAGTAAATTTTAAGGTGCCTGTTAGGTTTTTCTTGTCAACTTCACTACTAAACATAATGTTATAATTGATAAAACTAAAACTTCCTGTGCTAGTTTTTATCCGTCTTACCTGACAAGTAAAACGTTATGTGTAGACCGGGCTCACTTTTTTTTATTGTTACATACTTTCAATTTTTTATTTATTATTTTAATTCTTAAGGTTCATAGCTCTAAAATGTATCCCACCGAAGACTGTACATTCTTTCAAGTATTAGGCAGAGTTATGAGCGGTACTCTTCATGCTGGAACCGATGTACAGATACTTGGTGAAAATTACACATTACAAGATGAAGAGGATTCCAGAATACTTACCGTCGGTCGTTTATGGATATACGAGTCAAGGTCAGTTAGATTATTTATTATATAGTTTTGTTAATAATATATGCAGTTACACTTTTATAAATCTTTGTCTGCTTCTTGAATACATTTAAAATATTTATAGTTTTACAAAATGTTATGCGTTTTTTTTAGATATAAAATTGAACTAAACAGAGTTCCAGCTGGAAATTGGGTATTAATAGAAGGTATAGATCAATCCATAGTAAAGACATCAACAATTACAGATCTAACAATACGCAGTGATCTTTACATTTTCAGACCTTTGAAATTTAACACGCAGAGTATTATTAAAATTGCTGGTAAGTGTATCTTTTCCTTATAAATTTTGAACATTACAATATATTAACTGACAGAAAATTAAGCACAATATTCTAGCAATACAGGGTGTCCCAGAAATAAGTGCAAGTATTTTAACTGGTAGTATAGTTCAACCCCAGAAACACGCCTATGAGGTTTTTTTCGCGAAAAAAACATTTTGAAAATTCGAAATTTTTTGAAAAATTTTTTGAATTTTTTTTAGTTTTTAGTTAAAAAACATAATTTCTTGATGATATGGCAACATAGGTATAGATTAAATTTACAAGAAAGAAAATCCAGAAAAGATCCAGTGGTTCTCAAAATTTTAACAAAAAATATTTTTTTTGGAAATTTTCAAAGTAAAATAACTCCGTTATTGAAAAACGATAAAGAGAAAATGTGTTTCTTTTATCGTGATCTACCACCCACTCTCCACTTATTTCTGGGATACCCTGTATATACCATTTATATTTGCAATATCCCCATATGTATCGGGAAGAGTTAGAGCGCTTGCACACACACCGGCAATATCGGCGCCGGCTTTGCACCCGTTCCGACAGTCGTATTTAATTCTATTGGATTTGCCGGTCCCCGACTATTTTGCCGGACCGGAGTATATGTGAAGGAGCTAATTTAATTACATTGCAATCGATTTCAGATCCGGCACCGGCATCGATTTTGCCGGCGTGTGTGAAAGCGCTCTTACAGTCTGTTTCAAAATGCCTGAGAGGACAGCGAGAAGGGCTGGGGCCATAAAACATTAAAATAAATCTTAAAACCCTTATACCAGACGTTGGTGCGGTCAGTACCTAAATATTCTAATTGGCCTATTGTTAATGTACCAGATATGTCCATCTACAAACGTGTTAAAGTTGTCTGAATTTCATTGGAAGATATACCCTTAAAATTAAATTGGTCCCATATTTTGGCATGTCACACTGTACACAGGAAAACGCCTTTTGCATTTATAATGAGGGCCTTGTGCTCTCACGCTTTTAGAAACCGACTATAACATTTGTTGGAAAATAATAATAATATAAAATAAATAATAATAATTTTATGAAGAATAAGATTACCAAACAAATATATTTATTTTGTTACAGTGATATAAAACATATACAAAAAAATAGTATACATATATAAAAAATAATAATAATAAGTGTGCTTTCTATGATATATTATGATTTTTAGTGGAACCAGTAAATCCATCTGAATTACCAAAAATGTTAGATGGCTTAAGGAAAGTTAATAAGTCTTACCCCTTGCTTACCACAAGAGTAGAAGAAAGTGGCGAACACGTTGTCTTAGGTACAGGAGAACTGTATCTAGATTGTGTAATGCATGATTTAAGAAAAATGTATTCAGAAATTGATATCAAAGGTGAATATCAACCTGTATATTTACGTTTCAGAAATAATCTTTTCTTATTTATAGTGGCTGATCCTGTAGTAGTATTTTGTGAAACTGTTGTTGAAACGTCAAGTTTAAAATGTTTTGCCGAAACACCAAATAAAAAGAACAAACTCACTATGATTGCTGAGCCTTTGGAAAAGGGATTAGCTGAGGATATCGAAAACGAAAATGTACAAATAGGCTGGAACAAGAAAAAATTAGGAGAATTTTTCCAAACTAAATATGATTGGGACTTGTTAGCTGCTAGGAGTATATGGGCTTTTGGTCCTGACAATACAGGCAAGTTGAGCTTACATAGAAAATTAGTATTAAACAAAAATATCAACATTAATTAATAATATTAAAAAAAAGAATACCTTAGACAGTCCTCATTTATTTCAATTTTCAGTTTTTGCAAAGTACTTACTATTTTGCTTTGGTGAATTAAGTTGTTATTGAATAGTTATAAAATGTAGCAAAAACAATGAAAGTACATATTTGAAAATATTAATAAAAATAGCTTTATTACTACTACTATATGGGCTCGAACTCACTGACGACCAGGTCGCAACGACCTGGCCGTCGGCTGGCCGGATGCATTGCGTTTATAGCTGCGGCCAGATGTTGCGGCCAGTTTACGTTTTACGTTTACCAATTAGAAAATATTGTTTCAGAAATGTTAAAATATCCCAGTTAACTAAAAAGCGAAGCTTATTAAATGTTCTAATATGAAATAATGCATTTAAAATATTCTTGGATTTTTCGTTAATAAATACTTAACTGGTGTGGTATGGAGTAAGTGAAATCTCCAACCCCGACTACACGATAACGTCGTTATTTCCATGTTTTTCAAATCCGCGATGCCTGCTATTCCATCAGTCGTTTCATAACAGAATATTCTACATCCTACGTCTATGTAATTTAATATGTATAGAGTGAGACATGTAACTCGTGAGATTTTTAGCATTATATCAATAAAGGGCAAAAACAGTATTGTTCCTAAAGGTGCGTCCAGACTCGAGCATTTTAGCCCGAACGAACCGAGCGCGCACGAGCAAGCAGAACAAATAGGCCGAAAAAAAAGCATTGTGTACGCGCGGCCGCCAAAAAGGGAGATATTCTATTTTTTTTTTCTACTGATATGGACTTCTACTGATGGCTCTTATCGACATTAGAAGTAAACATATTAGGGCCATCGTAAAAAATGGTCTTCAGACACTGGCTCTAAATAAAAGCAGGTAGAAAGTTTAGCTTCCAGTTATTTCAATGTTTACAATATAAATTCCTCTTTTTTATTGTTACTGAGAATCTACAACAGTAAATACTTCTATTTTTATGAATGTTTAAGTTACTTTTACTTTTATTTTTTTTTTAAATAATGTACCTAGTAGAAATATAGTCTAATGGGACCCTGTTTGAAAAACGTTAAATTATATATAGTATTTAAAATACAGTTGTCCTCCTTGTACATGACTACAATACGACTAAACAAACTAATTTAATAAAAAAACAAGTGGTTGTAGAAACTTTAAATATGATTTTTTTATGTTTTAACATCGAAGTTATAATAACAACAAACTCGAAGGTATAATAACAGGTATCATACCAACCATAAATAGAGTATGTTATATAAAAATGTTTTGAATTTTTAATAGAATCGACCCTTGATAAAAAAGGGACTAGATTTAAGTTTCCCTTTGATCCAGTCTGTATACTATTTCTTTGGATTTTCTGCACGTGTGCAAAAACTACACTAAAACACCATATCTTATACAAAATAAAATATTTTGCCTTGAATTTGAGGGATTTCATCTGAAAAATTATTAATTTGGAAGAAAACCGGCAACAAGCGGCAGAAAATACTAATATTTCCTTGCAGTCTTCTGGTCGCAATGACCAACGGACGGCCAGGACGTTAGTGTGCGCTGTATCATTTGATTTAAAGGTTTTAGATGTAGCTGCGGCCTGGCCGGTGCGACCTGGTCGTCAGTGTGTTCGAGCCCTATTACTCCAAAACAAAACTTTAATATGTAAAAAATATAAAAAGAAGTTTGCAGAAAGCATATTAATAGTAGCAATAAACTTGCTAAAAAACGATTTTCTTTAATTCATTTATTAATAATAATTATTTTCATTGATATTTTTATATTCACCAATGCAGCTATTGCGAACCAGACCCGCAACGCCTATGCTATCTCAGTCTTTGCGCGATGCCGTGTCTGGCAACGGTTTTTTTATACCTCTATACTTCTATTAACCTACCTCTACCACTACCATAACACTATTATAAATATTTACAGGTCCTAACATTCTGGTAGATGACACTCTACCTTCAGAAGTCGATAAAGGATTGTTGAGTTCTGTAAAAGATTCAATTGTACAAGGTTTTCAGTGGGGTACCAGGGAGGGACCTTTGTGCGAAGAACCGATTAGAAATACAAAATTTAAAATCTTAGATGCCGTCATAGCGCAAGAACCTTTACATCGGGGCGGTGGACAAATCATTCCTACTGCGAGAAGAGTTGTTTATTCTGCATTTCTGATGGCGACACCCAGATTAATGGAACCTTATTTGTTTGTAGAGGTGCAAGCACCAGCTGATTGTGTATCAGCCGTGTATACGGTATTAGCAAAAAGACGGTACGTTTTGTTGAATGCTGAGTTTAGATCCCTAAGATTGAATATAGGACTGTCAAATAGGATAAAGGAGTCACTTGGAAAGCTTATTATTGTTTTGATTGGTCCATTTGACACGAAAGGGAAGTATCCTAGGCTTGCACAATTACATGACTCAAGAAGTTCAGAAGATGGCAAAATTCTCGTATTTTTTTTTTAAATTTTCGCCTATAGTTCCGAAACGTTGCGTCGTATGAACAATCATTCTAAATAAAAAAATACAATGAAAGTTACAGAATTCATGCCGAGAAAAAGAAAATATGTCCAAGAAAGGGGGGTACCTGTATGAAATGACTTAAAAAGTGGTATTATAGATATACCGGGTGCGTCTCAAAAGTGGCTCACCGATATAACTTTTTTAATTTGTCAGTTAAAAAAAACAGATTTGGTGTATATGATATAAATTAGGATTGATTGACGTATTCAATTGTTTTCGGTCACTTCCTGTTTGACTTTTGATTTTTAAATGGCACCATTGGTATTTTTTTACTTTATTCGATAGAAAATAACACTCTGAATAGAATGACATGTCATATGTCAACTTTTGACATTTTCGCATATGGTTTATTTGAAATTATAAGATTATTAGAAATTATATATTGTTAACTTGCGTAACGAAAATTTGACTCGAAATACCAAGTGTGTGGTATCAATTTATTCGTATAAAAATGCTTTTTCCAAATATGCTAATTTTTTATTAAGCGAGAATGTAAAAAATTGACATATGATACGTCATTCTATTCAGAATATCATTTTCTATCGAATAAAGTAAAAATATACCGGGGGTGCAATTTAAAAATCAAAAGTTGTCATTATCTAAAAAAATTAAAAAGTTATAGGGGTGAGCCACTTTCAAGACGCACCCGGTATATCAATTGCGAGTTAGTTTCCATTCTGTTGAAATCCTGACCATCTAAGATTGATTAATTATTACACCTGAACTGAGAGGTTACAAAGACTAACTTTATCGTATTTGTCTTGTAAGTGGTGGTGGCAGCGGCGGGAATCCACCTGACTTGTGGATGGCAGATTTTTGACTCGATAATTACCAAGTTGACGAAGATACCAATAGCCCAAACTATAGCTGAGATGGGAGTATACCATTGGTGTTTTACCACAAAACACGGGTTTAAGAGAATCACCATTTGGGACATTAACGAACTACATCCCACCAGATCTGTTCAAATAACTAGTGTTTCTATGGATTTATGGTAAATAATCGAGCGAACGTTCCCGGATGGAACGTTTTTATAGAAAAAACTATGTAATGGGTAAATCTTACTGTAAACCCTGAATGGTCTATTTACCGTTCCTGTATTCACCATCTAAGATACTCTCAGTCAATACTTTTATTTTGTCACTTTTGAACAGCTGTTGTATTTCTAGGCTCGGGACTTAGTAGCTTGTAGACTTATTCTTCTGTAAAGTTATTTCATACAGAGTTGGAAGGAATGGGAGGGTACCTCTCTTGGATACTGAAGAACATATAATATGCCAAGTTTCGGAATATCTTCATTTTCGCGGCTGTACTGGAACAAATTTAAAATGCCCATTAAACCCACATTTTAATGCTCTGTAACATTAGGTGTATTTTTTCTAATTAGAATGTTTTACATGTGACAGATCATTGAATGTCACTTTAATGTATTTTTCAGCAAAGTGGGTAAATATCACCAGTCTTCAATATTAGATTTAAGCCACGTTACTAAACCGAATTCAATGAATGCTCACATTTAACGTAATTTAATTCTCTTTAACTTAAGTAATATTGACATATTTGCTAAAATGCAAGAATCTTTTGCTTTTTCTGCCTCGAGCGGTGGTCGGCAACCGTGCAAACCTAAGAAACTTTTCTTTTGTGTCAAATGAACCAAAACCTACAATGAGCTTTCCAATACTTATTTCCAAGTGACCCCTCTAATGTGATTGGCCTAATAGCTTTTTTATATTAACCTTCTAATAAAGTAAGTGATGTGTCACTGATATCTTTTGTGATTCACCTATGTAGGTGTTTATTCTATTCTCTTATATATTATTATTTTATCTCTCTCAATGTAATAAACCGATTCTACTTTTGTATTGCAACAGAAATAACAGTGACTTTTAAGTGTTTTTGTTTAAAGCAGAATAAAAAATGTAAAGTTAATACATATTTTATATTTTTAGTGGCCATGTTACCCAGGATGCCCCAGTACCAGGATCGCCATTATACACTATTAAGGCTTTCATTCCCGCCATTGACAGTTTTGGATTTGAAACTGACTTAAGAACACATACACAAGGCCAGGCGTTTTGTTTATCAGTGTTTCATCACTGGCAGGTAAAAGTAGTTCTAGTCCAGAATACAGAAGATAATTGTTACGGAATCCGTGGGTCCTTAATTTAAAACACACGACAAAACACAAACTAATTTATTATAATATTGATGTTTTAAAATATCTCCAATAATTAGCAATAATGCTTGAAAAAATGACACTGAAATAACCACAAGGCCGACACAGAATAATGATGATTATTGATGACATTTTAAGCAATGATTTTTTTATGAATTTTCGCTCGAGTTATCGCATATCTAGTAAAGACTAAAAATGCAATGAGTACTTTCTAAATACAGCGTTATTTCTTTCAGATTGTTCCTGGAGATCCACTGGATAAATCTATAGTTATTCGACCTTTGGAACCGCAACCAGCAACACATCTGGCGAGAGAATTCATGATTAAAACGAGACGAAGAAAAGGTCTAAGTCAAGACGTGTCTATCAACAAATTCTTTGACGATCCTATGTTGCTGGAACTGGCAAGACAAGATGTCATGCTTAATTATCCTTTACTCTAAAAGTTCAAATATTATTTTGTAATGTTTTAATTAGTAAGTATAATTAAATCATTTTTTTAAATTCAAATTCAATTTGTATTAAGTTGATTTGAATTTGCATACTATTTTTGACATATTTAGAAGTCATATCCCCTCTCGGAGAACAAAGAGGCAACTGCTTACGACACAATTTTACAGAAGGGACAAAAAATTAAATTTTAACCTAAAATAAAGTGTAACAATTAAGGTACATTGTAGAAAGTATAGGTGGGAGGTTAATCACCGCGACCACACACAGATCTACTGTGTGTGAAGTTAGCATTGTGTATTTTATGAATAAATATCTGAGAGGGTAGGCACATTTCCCCTTCTCTTTTTTTCCGAACGTCAAGAAGTCTACATTTATTTAAACTTACCTCAATACAAATTAATGCCTTAAATTGGCAACAACTAAACAACACTTATTAACATGACATTTATTTATTAAGATTTATTGTCTGAACATTTTTATTATGGACATATTAATAAATAACTGGTATTTTAACTAAAACCTAATCTGTTTACAAACTAAATACTATCATTGACAATAACATGCTCTATCATATTTGCAAACAAATTAAGTAAAATCACAAGTGCTATTAAAAACCAAATAAAAATCACAATAATTTTAATTAAGTTTATTTGATTCACACCAAAAAGAAACATTTTTTATAAAACACTAATAGGTAAGAGTTCTTTTCTTTTCTTTTATATTAAATTATTAAATCACAGGCTACAAAAATGTCGAAATCGGCATGTCGATCAGCAAAATATATTCCTTGAATTATATCTCTCATAATATCATGATTTTTAGTAATAATCGATCGAAAATTACAAACACTGTATTGTAAATAAAAATCTAAAAAATACTGAAGAAATTAAGTAATAAAAATTTTCCAATTTGCACTTAAACGTACAAAACTTAATTTACGATCATGTACATCAATAACATTCATACACAAATTACATCTGTACAAGTTTTTAATTTTAATATAATTTAGGCAAAATTACATACATATTATTATGATCTGCGTGAAACAATATTCTTCAACATTTCATAATCTTTGAAGCCAAACAACTGTTTTCAATAGTCGACTTAATTTTACAATTAGCATAATTTAACTATAGAGAACTAGTATTAGAGTCCTTATTAAGAATATTACATCAAAAATTCATGAAATGTATCGATCTCGAGATTTAATCATTTCTATCTTAATTGACTATTTAGACTTATCAGATCCTGCAAAAAACTTTAGGCCTCGGGTGCAATTCATTTTCACGCAGATACAGTTATTTAGAAAATACGAAAAAGAATTTTGCTTTCAAACTACTTATTTTATCTACAAATAAGTTACGTCGTAGCCGGACAAAACGCGGCGATGTTTTATGGTACTCGAATAAACAGGGGAGGGAGGAACCTAAAAATAAAAACGAGAGATATTAGATATAATATGTATAAAAAAGGGCGTGCAAAAATATTCGCAACAAAGATGAACATTTTTTATTATTGAGTTATCGAAAAAAGTTTATACAGAATTTCTTCAACATACTCAGTAACAAAAAAAATAAGTTTGACTCTTTGAATAAGAAGACTAAGGAAGGAGCATAATGCTATGCATGTATTCATGCATGGTGGGCGGAAAAAGGACTCTAGGGTGGGGATCCTTGACAGTTCTGTTTGACGATTCATTTGACACATTTGAATTTGATTTGAAATTTTGTGGATTTGTCAGTCTTTACGAAGCTTATTTTATGTTATTTATTATTTATTCTACTACTGATAGTTGTATAAAGCTAGTAAATCTAGATTGGAAATTGTGGCAGAACTTAAATTAACAGTGACACTGTCGCGATTTATCGAAAAAGACTAAAATAGTTGGTTGTGTAGCGTGCGGTAGATCTCGGCAAAAATTGAGTGAAATAATGGAACAACTTTTCGCTAGTAAGTGACTATATAATATACATACGTGTAGTAAACCGATCATTTATGAAATTCTTTTTCTTGCATTTTTGCTTTTATTTACTACTTATCAAAGATTAGATGTCAAAAAATTTAGATACGTCAATTTGACTTTCCTGCTTCAGTAGCGTATCGGATTGTTTATGGTTATAAATAATTATTATATTTTTATAACAATTTTAATAACTACCAACGTTTATTCACAACGTAAAATAAAAATTATTGAGTCTACCCCACGTCTACCCTACATCATAGTTTTACATTTTTAAATAAAATTAGAACGGCATTGATAAACCGGAATTTAAGTCGGCCATATTTGAGGCCCATCGCGGTGGACCTAAAATTTTTGATATACTTCTTGCTTAGTCTTCTTATTCAAAGTTTTGACTATATGCAACGTTGTAATTGTCACGGCGACCCAGTACAAACATATTTATTACAACGGAGAGTGAATACGCAAACATTTATACAGGGTATCCCAGAAATAAGTGCAAGTATTTTAACTGGTAGTATAGTTCAGCCCCAGAAACACACCTATGATGTTTTTTCGCGAAAAAAAAATTTGAAAATTACAAATTTTTTTCAAAATTTTTTTTGAATTTTAGTTTTTAGTTAAAAACATAATTTCTTAATAATATGGCAACACAGATATTAGATTAAATTTACAAGAAAGAAATCCAGAAAAGATCGAGTGGTTCTCAAAATTTTAGCAAAAAATCATTTTTTTTGGAAATTTTCAAAGTAAAATAACTCCCTCCAAAAAATCCTTTATGGGTGTTTCGCCACTGCCACTGTTAAGCATTTTTTTCTTTGTTAGGCAAATTTGTATAACTGACAAAAAACAACATAACTTCTGACAAGCAGTGTCCGTTTAGGTTTAACGCAAAAGTGTTTACAAAAAATAACTATTTTATTTTGTAGATTTTCTTGCAGTGCAATGGCGAAATACCCATAAAGGATTTTTTTGGAGAGATGAATCCGCCACATAGGTAGACATTTTTTAAAATAACTCCGTTATTTTGGACTTTATTTCTGGGACACCCTGTATGTTAAGAAGTTGAGTTTTCAAATTACTACGATTACTAATGGTTTTTCATTATAAAAGGAACGGTCGCCCTAACGATATTCTATAACTAGATTTCAAATGTCTAGAAACATATCTAATGATTTTATGTAGTTATCTTCCAGAAAAAAAAGCGTCTTTCGACCGTGATTATATATGTAGTTTATCTGAAGACAGTTGGAATATTAAAACTAAAAGAGTTTCGGACTTCCATTGTCTTTTATTTTGCTTACACAACGTTTCGGTTCGAAGTATCACTGACCGTTATCAAGTGTGAACTAATCTAAATCCTAAAACTACTGAGCTTATATACTAGAGCCGAGCATTCCCCGTGAATTTGTTGGATGCAGTCAAGCGTGAGGTTGTCCACTAAAAACACCTGCAGTGGAGCGTTTTATAAGTGGTTGCCATATTGTTGAAATTTCCATACTTGGATTGCTAATGATTTTATTATTGTTAGAAATGAATACGACCTCTTTAATTTTGCGATTTTTCCAATGGGGTTCTTTGTGGACAACCCGAGCTTCCAACCATTTTATGTTGTGGTGCTTGGACCACACATGATCTGCAATGCCCGACTTCGTTGTTTCACCGCTTTGCGTATGTTTTTTATGTAAGGTACCTGGTAGATGTACTCTTTCTACTGGTTTGATGATTCAGGTTTTGTTTTTGTTAGGACATTTCTTAGAGTAGTCCTAGACTTAAAACAGTTTTAATTTTATATTGCTTAGCTATTCGCCTGATCTTCTGCGATGTTCCTTTCACATATAGAATCGTCAAGAGAGAGAGAGCATCCTCCTCAGGCTGGTGCACCAATGAGTCGAACTTGCAATTGGATACTCGGTTCTAGCACAGATTATACAGATTATAAACTTATCGTCAAAAGCATTGTTTTTCGTGGTTCTAACTTTCGGAGTCGCGCGCTAGTTATTAGTTTGCGCACAAGCGCAAGGTTACTAGTTTGCGCACAACTTATAGCCTCTAAAATCTCAAGCACGCCCACTTATAGCCTCTAAAATTGTACACAGCGCCTGACTGGCCTTGTGACTGGCCCAGTTATTACGCTGTTTAAACGGGAGTTTATTTTTGGGCACAAGAACATTTAAAACAATTTTCTTACCACGAATTAGGGACAATATTTTTATCTGTATACTTATAGGATACCTAATCTGTGGCTCTAGTTACAGGGTCCGGCAATAGTGCGTCGAACATCTGTAGCTCCTAAAATACAAAACTTAAGAATTCTATTTAAGAATTAAGAATTTTGTTTAAGTGCTAATCTAAAGTATGTTCTAGGATGTATTGTAGGAAAATAGTTTAACTTCTATAGGGTGGCTAAAAAAGTATGAGTGGATCGGGATGAATTCTTTTAAATGGAGCACCCTGTATATTACTGCATTTTTTTGGTTTCTTTTCAGATTACTTTACATAATCCTAAGATATGAATAGATATAAAAAATATATTTTTCAGCCTTCAAAAAATTATTAAAAATACAATAACTAAACTGTCCTGAAATCAAAACTATATACATATTAGGTATTTACTTTAGATGATCTGTACTTACATTGCTATAAATATGGTAATCGTAAATCATACAGGATGTTCAAAACTCTACGCTAAACTTTCTAAAATATAAAATAAATTTTCTTCGTTTTTTTTTTAAATGGAACACCCTGTATATTATTTTTTCAATAGATGGAGAATTAAAAAATGAACATTTTTTGTATTTAAAAGTATTTCAAAAGTTTTAACGGTTTCGCAGATATTTGCGGTTTTATATTTCATATGGCATTTTCCATAGTAAATTTTTATCAAAGCCACCCAATGATTTTTCTCTCGTATTTTCCCGCTGAGAGAATCATATGAAATAATACTGCGTGGTATCTGCGAAACCATTAAAAATTTTGGAATACTTTAAATACAAAAAATGCTCATTTTTTAATTCTCCATATAATAAAAAAAATATACAGGGTATTCTATTTAAAAAAATATATATATTTTAAAAACTTTAGCGTAGAATTTTAAATATCCTGTATGATTTAAGATTACGATATTTATAGCAAAGTTAAGTATAGACCATCTAAAGTAAATACCTAATATAGTTTTGATTTCAGGGCAGTTCTTATATTTGTAATATTTTTTTTAATGAAGGTTGAAAAATATAATTTTTTTATTTATTTATTAATATCCTTGAAACTATCGAAATATGGATCTTAGGATTATGTAAAGTGATCCGAAAGGAAGCCAAAAATGCAATAATATACAGGGTGTTCCATTTTAAAAAAATCATCCCGATCCACTAACACTTTTTTGAGCCACCCTATAGATGTTAAAATATTTTCCTGAAATACATCCTTGTACATACTGTTTGACCAGCGGATCTGTAGCTACGGAAGGAATGCGAGAAAAAAAAATCGATATTGCCACGTTTATCTATAAAATTGCAAAATTGCCAGACATGAACTATAAATTTAATATATTTTTATTATATATAATGTGTTTAGCATATATTCTGACGTATATTACTAAGGAATTTTAAGGAGCTACAGATGCCCGACGTACTATTGCCGGATCCTGTATAACCGCAGTAGTGGATTTAGTTTAGTTCACACTTGATAACGGTCAGTGGTACTTCTAACCGAAACATTGTGTAAGCAAAATAAATAGACAATGGAAGTCCGAAAGTCTTTTAGGTTTAATACTGAATCTACTACGTTTTAATACTGTCTGCCACATTCAAAGTAACAGTTGGAATATATTGAACCTTTTAATTTCGGCACTGCCTCTGTCGGCATCGGGTGACCTTCCAGTTGACTTCGGAAATACTATACTACACTAGACAGGGCAAGGCATACTTGTATCACTGAGAGTGTGGCAACGCTGCAACAGCACACCGTCGCATTTTTCACACTCCCACTTTTCCACACATGTAAATAACGACCCAAAAGTATTACCAACACAGCGGGGACTGTACAGGTTTAAAGAAATTCACCATTGGCTTTCAGTTTGGTCACTTTCAGATAAAAATATCAATTTTATTAGAAAGTTGGGTATTGAGTCAGATACAGTTACATTGAAGCCATTAAACTTGGAACAGGACGACGTTTTACAGTTGAAAAAAAAATTAAGCTTAAGTCTATGGATGGATGGCGAATGCTTGCCTGTAAATTGCTTTAATTTTTCTATAGAGTTCTATTATGTCAACCATCTTTTTGAAAATATTATGACAGCGGAATTTTAAAAAACGTATACTCACATATTTTTAAACTGGAACATAATTCCCTTTTGGTGTATAAAATATTTGTCCAGTGCCTAAACGTCTCAAAATTTCTTTAGCGAGCAGTCTCTTTTCCTTCTTAATTTTCTTCAAAACGCCTTTGTTTTCGTGCGCTCTTCTAGACAAATAAGGCAACACTTCATTTACTGGACCGTATGGGATGTATTTGTAAGCAGAGTAGCCAGATTGACCTGTTTGATTAATAAAAAATAAATGAAATTGAAGAAAAGAACCAGTAATAGATAGAGAACAGTAATATACTCACCCAATGGGAACGTGATGTAATCGCACATAGCCAATAGCTGACCAAAGCAAATAACTTTATCAGATGGCTCAATATTGAATTCTTTCATTTTCTCTATTGCAAATCTGACTGTGTCTTCATTGTGTGACGCTACCATGATGGCAATTTTCTTATCTTCGCCCTTATCTTTGAATGCTTTGATTCGTCTTAGGCATTCAGTAAGAGTTTTATGGTACATTTCGCTCGTAGCTTCGAAGTTGGGGTTTGTAGGATCTGGATAGCCCATGGCAGCAGCTCGAGCTCTTTCCTGAGAAACGAAATTTACAATGTTGACATTTCTGTTACTATTGTCTTAATATTTAGTGGCATCTGGGGTACGAATGTTTAAGAGTAGCATGGGATTTTCCACGTACAAACCTATACTACCGCCTATACCCTGGCCAGCAAGATTATAAAAAAAATAAAGACAATGGAAGTCCGAAATAATTTTATTTTCAATACTGAATCATTGTCTACCACATTCAGAGAAATACAAAGTGTCTCTTAAATAAATGCTGGAAGTATTTTAACTGGTAGTATAGGCTTGGTGCATTCTCTGCCGGTGTTGCCACCATCGGAGAATATCGTAAACAACTAGTATATACAAATACACGGGTTTAAATAGCGAGTATACGAAAAATTTATTATATAATTATTCTAAAAGTGTTAGGAAGTATAATTTGTGGAAATTCTAAAAATAAAAATGTAAATATTTTGATATCTTCAGAAAGTCTAACTTGTATTATAGGTAATTTATTATTCCAGCTAAAAAAACTTTTTAGATGAGTTCAACTACGGTAGCGAACATAGTTTTAATCACCGGTTTTGCTAGTGGGGTCATAATTGGGGTTATTTCGGCTATAACGAAATTTTTTAAAGGTACATAATTATAATATTAAAAACATTTAATCACTGGTTGGTTAAAAAAAAGTGTACCATTAATATTGCAAATTATTTTTTTCCTCTCACAGTATATGTCTATTTAATTCTTTGATTATGTAACGAGCACTTTGTTTGCTCACTTGATTCGTCGGACTGCTTGAATTCATTTTTGCTTTTGATCAAATCGGTGTGAGAAACTATGAAGTTATAAAATGTTGTTTCGGGAGAGTTGAATATCCGGGAAAGTTGAGTTACTGAATGTTATTGCATCCAACAACGCCCTAATTACGCTCTCCTTTACGCTTTAACTTTTTTCGGCAACTTTATTAACATTTGAAATTGTCACAAAACAACATGACGTCTAGTTCGAATTCTTTTTCACTTATTTTTTATTACCCGAAACAACAACCTTCACACAAACCTGCAAATTTGGAAAATACCTTTTCCAAATATGCTAACGGGCCACGCCTCGTTCCACTTGAAAAAATTGAGATATGATTAAAAATACGATTAAAAAGATTAGACGATCAAACCTATTTTTCCAAGGCTTCTTGATTAAAAATTACTGTTTTTAATACAGCCATGGCACTCTAGATTGAAATTTAACTTTGTTTTAAGCGAAAATGTCAAAAGTTGACATATGATATGTCACTCATTGACATGTCACTATTCAGAGTGTCATTTTTTATCGAATAAACTAAAAAAATACCGAGGGTGCAATTTAAAAATATAACGGTGTAGTCATTTCCGGTAAAACAGGAAGGGACCGAAAACAATTTTGAATACGTTAGTAAAATCCTAATTTATGTCATATACGGATCGTTTTTTTATCTGAAAAAATAAAAAAGTTATAGGGGCTGAGCCACTTTTGAGACGCACCCGGTATAAAACTTTATTATTATTGTTTTTTGCAAAATTAATATATTTCTACTTTAATTTACAAGTACTATACTATGCTGTTATTTTTAGCAACAGATCGTGTAATGTTGCAAAAAAGACATTAAATTTAATAGTCCAATTATCATCTACTGTTTTAAATCTTAACCGCTCAAAAAGTCGGGCAACCGCGCAAATCGCATCATCGCCGAAAAGCACACGTGCATGAATTTACGACTGATTAACGCTAAATCCGTTGGGGTTGTTCAAGACAATTAGCATTCGTATTTACAGTAAATAGAAACGTTTTGTTAAATTTAGTTCTAAATAAAGTTAGTTTGCGATATAACACAAATTTTCGTAAATCAAAACAAATCTTAATATTTGGGGATAAATGATCATTATCTTAAAAATATATATATACAGTGCAATCGCGATAGTATGAACACGCAGTTATATGAACCACTCCGTAATATGAACACAATAATTTTTTCATTGACTACTCTATAGTATGAACAGCCTGAAATCTCGGTAATATGAACAACTTGTTAGATCTTGTTTTTTTTCTATTTTGTGTCTGTTAGAGAGGTTCAAATTCATTGTTATTTATGTAACAGAGGTGAACGCAGCTAGTTTCATAAACAGAGTCTATAAAATGTTTAATAACTCTTTAACTGTAATAATTTAAAATGGTTAAAGTGAAAGGTAAATCAAAATGTCTCTCTCTTCATGAGAAAGCGAAACTTTTAGAAGATGTTGATAAAGGGTTAGGCGTGACGCTTTTGGCAAAAAAGTACGGTATTGCCAAATCAACAGTGTGTTTAATTAAAAACAAAAAAAGAATTGTCGAAAGAGTTGCAAGTTGTGCGTCTAAATTAACAAAAAATGCACAATAAAAAAAGGAGAACTTCGGGAAATGGAAAAACTGCTTTATAAATGGTTCCTTGCACAACGCGAGAGAAATATGCCAGTTTCTGGAGAGATGATAAGGCAAAAAGCTTTGAGTTTAAGTTCCAGTTTAAAAGTGAGCAGCTTTAAAGCAAGTGATGGGTGGTTACAACGGTTTAAAGAACGGTATGGGGTAAGATTTTAAAAAATAACCGGAGAAAAACTGTCAAGTCAGCCAGAACTTATTAATCCATTTAAAGAAAAACTAAAAATGGTGATTGAAAAATATGAATTAAATGAGCACCAGTTGTACAATCACTAACCGAAAAAACTGCACCTAAACTCAAAATAGCCAAACAAAGAGTTACATTTTTGGGATGCGCCAATGCCTCAGGGTCGCATAAAATAAAACCATTACTTATCGGAACTGCAAAAAATCCGAGATGTTTCAAAAACTTTCATAATCCCTTGGTGTACCGGCACACTAAGAACGCCTGGATGACTGGAAACTTTTTAAAAACTGTTTTTTTCAGCAATTTGTTCCAGAGGTAAGCATAAAAAATATTCTCCTCTAATTTCTAACTTTATTGTACTAACGGTTTTTTAGGTTAAAAGTTTTCTGAGATCTCAAAATCTACCAGAAAAGGCGGCACTTCTTTTGGATAACGCTCCGTCTCATCCACCTGCAGCAGATTTAAAATCTAGTGATGGTATGATCTTTGTAATGTTCATGCCTCCGAACGTTACACCACTTATTCAGCCAATGGATCAGAATGTGCTTAGGCTTACCAAGCTTTTCTATAGGAACAGTCTTCTTAGTTCCATTATTACTGGAAATGACACTGTAGGTGAAGCCCTTAAGAAAACTACGTTAAGGGATGCAGTGATCCATTTAATGGCCGCATGGGAAAAACTAAACCCAAACATGATCTCAAAATGTTGGCGAAACATTATTGACTTTACGGATGCATTAGACGAGGACGACTTGCCTCTATCACGCATAAGACAACAGCTAATTGAAGAACGAGCTGCCGACCCAATAAGAGACACAATAGCACTTTTAGGCGCTATAGGGCCTGTAAGTTTTGCATTTGTACATTTTTGTTTAAAAACCGGTTTTATCTAAAGTAAGGTCATTAACGTCTAGGTCATTAACTATAGTATAAATTAATACATATTATGTAGTAATTTTTAAACGTTTTAACAGGCGGAATACACGGGCTGTAGACATTGAAGAATGGAACAAGGATTCAGTGATAGAAGAAGCGAGCCTGGAAGAAGCTGAAAATATGGATTCAAATGAGAGTGACATTGAAATCGAGGAACAGCTAATAATTACAATTAAACATAGCGAAGCAGTCTAGGCCCTTACAGTATCATTAGAATGGGCTAAACAAAACGTAATAAATTTATCGGATATTACAACTCTAAAAAACATTCTTGAAAAAGCAGTTCTAGCTAACATTTCAGCCAAACAAACTCAGTCAAAATTAACTTCATATTTTAGAACTAATAATTAGTTTTATGTAATGTATATAGATATTAAGCACTTGATTTTGATGTACGATTAAACGATTTTTAAAATATTAATCCGTATTTTATTATGTATTTTTACTACCTTCAATAATATGAACATACCGTTAGTATGAACAACCTAAAAATTTTTGTCTTCATATTATCGCGATTGCACTGTATTATGTTTGATATATATTATACTTACTTGTTCAAGATAAGCGCCTCTAACAAGTTTTGCGCCGAAATAGAAATTCTGACGTTTAGCTTGTTCCAAATCAGTCGTTACTTCAGTGAGAGCATTTCGCAAGTAGCATTGGTATGTATTGAAGACTATGGCTTTGTCTTTATTATATTTACGCATAAATTCTAAAGTAATACGTGTAATAGCTGGCTGGAAGTAGGTTTGTTCTGCGTCAACCATTATGCGGACGTCCATCTCTTGTGCGGCCTATTAAAAATGGTATATTAATATATTATGGCAAATAATTCTTCTTAACTTTAAAGAAGGCGTCCATTCTTCTCAAAGAGACCTGGTTTAAATTGAACTGAACTACTGAAGTGTCAGATTTGGCGCGTGTCCGAATGAATGAAGTTCTACTGTATAATATTGTCCATAATATTTAACTAACCTTTACAATAGTATTTATCCTCCTAATCATGTTTTTAAACATTTCTTCCTCCTTTGGCGACAGCTGCGTGATTAACCTGGCCATACGACCTGTCTTCAGGTCGGGCACCCTAAAAGTAGTGCTCAATCCTTGGTCCTCGTCGATGATACCCGACCATGGGAAAAGATGGAGAATACTGCATAAAACAGACAGATGCAATGAGGAAATCGTCATGATGTATGCGAGGTTTAGTATGACTATCGTGACTATGAAATCCACGGTGATCATCACCTACAAAGATCACCTGGGTAACAGGTGTTTGTTGTTGGAAATCTATGGGATTTGATTTTGATAATTTTAGTACGTTTCCCTATCTGAAGCGTTATACTACAGCTTATTCAATACATAACTATATAGTTATAAGAATACTAATAAGACTATACAGATTCTGTCTTATTAGTATTGTTCAGAGTGAGTCTTAAATAAGTACAAATATTTTTAGGGGTAGTATATTTCGACCCCAGAGAAACACGCCTATGAGATATTTTTGACGAAATTTTTTTTTGAAAATTTGGAATTTTTTGAAAAAATTTTTGGATTTTTACTTTTGGTTAAAAAAACAAAATATCTTCATAATATGGCAACGTAGGCAGTATATTAAATCTACAAGAAAGAAAACTCAGAAAAGATCCAATGGTTCTCAAAATTTAAGCGAAGAATCATTTTTTTTACCGAGATCTACCAGCTCCGAAAATATTTGCACTTATTTAAAACTCATTGTGTATATGTAGTCTATGAAGATCCAGCGATGAAGGAGGTATTTGCGCATCAGGTGTCACGCAAATACTAGAAGATATAGAGTTTGAATTGAGTATTGAATATTGAATAAGCTGCGGTTAGATTTAATATTTTAGTTAAACTTCTGAATAGAGTTCCTAAAATGCCTGCAACTTTATATTTAAGCAGTGTTGATTTAGATTTAAATAATTATTGAAAAATTATTATTGATAAACAAATGTTTTAAGCAATATATAAAACATAAATTATATTATTCATCAATTAAACAATTTTAAACGATAAAGGTAGATTAATGCTTTAAAACAGTTTTTGTTGGTTGAGCATTGACAAAAGTAAGAACAATTTGTCTCTTACGCTTAAAGGTTGTGACCCCACCCCAAAGTGGTTCACCCATAGACTTAAAATAAAATATAGACTGAGCATCTCATTCATAAATAGCTGGAACATACGGTCAGACAATGTCTTGTTATTGTTGTGTTATTGTTTTAGGTTATAACGAGTGCGACACGAGCGATAGAAAGGTTGTCTCTGTCGTAACGGTCGTTTCCTGACGACTGTGACGAAAAACACAACACTGTCTTTCGTTTCTCAAGTACACCTGAACTCTCCATATCATAGCCGGGTAATTTTTTTATTTTAATGAAGCTATAATTAAATTAAAAATATATCGTATTTAAACTTTTTTATATTTTATTAAGATTTAGGACAGGTTTTTTTAAATAAAAGTTTAGAAAAAACGTCTTAGAATCCAAAAAGGATAAAAATAATAAAATACACGTTATAGAAGAAATTTTATAATCGAAATTACGTAATTTTTGAAATTAATAATAAATTATTAATTTTAGTCAAACATTTACAACCCCTAATATTAATCAAAACAGGATCTATTCTACAGATATAATAGAATCGGCGACAGGGAGAGAAAAAAAATATATGATTGTTGTAATTTTTTTTCTGGTTAGGTGATGTCTTATTATGTAAATTAGAGAAAACATAAATCTGTTCCATTAAAGCAAAGAAGGTGATAGGAAGTGGATAAAATGAAAACTACATTTATTTAACTCGGTACTGTCTTTATTATACCGGGTGCGTCCCAAAAGTGGCTCATCCACATATTTTTTTATATTTTCAAATAAAAAACAAGATTTAGTATGTTAGTTTATGAGATTAATTAGGATTGATTGACGCATTCAATTGTTTATGGTCACTTCCTCTTTCACCGGAAATGACTATAACTTTTAATTTTAAACGGCACCCTCGGTATATTTCTACTTTATTCGATAGAAAATGACACTCGGAATAGAATGACATATCATATGTCAACTTTTGACATTTTTGCATATGGCTTAATTGTAATTGTAACACGCGGTTCATAACGACAATTTGACTCGAAATACCAAGTGGTGGTATCAATATATTCATATAAAAATGATTTTTCCAAATATGCTAATGACTCACTCTTGTTCCATTTGAAAAAATTGACATATGTATGATTAAAAATACGATTTGTACATCTTTTAACCGGCCTAGACAAGACACGAAACCCATTAGACGATCAAAACTATTTTTCCAAGGCTCCTTGATTAAAACTTAGTGTTTTTAACAACACCATGGCACCCTGAATTGAAATTTAAAATACGATTTGTTTTTAAGCGACAATGTCAAAAGTTGACATATGATATGTCATTCTATTCAGAGTGTCATTTTTATCGAATAAAGTAGCAATATACCGAGGGTGCCTTTAAAAATCAAAAGATGTAATCATTTCGGTGAAACAGGAAGAGACCAAAACAATTGAATACGTCAATAAATCCTAATTTATGTCATATACCTACTAACATACAAATCTGTTTTTTTATCTGAAAAATAAAAAGTTATAGGGGTGAGCCACTTTTGAGACGACCCGGTATATTAAAAAATATTGTTTCATAATGTAATATCATTTTAAAATTCTTGTATGTTATTTTAGATTCTGAAGATAATTTTAGAATAAACCGGAATATATTTTTAATAAAAACATTATTAATTATTAACAGGGTTATAATTATGATACAATTATGTAAATAATGTAATGTAAGAGAAAAAATTCAGATTTTACATTTTACTAAAATATTATCTAAATAAGCGCCTTTTTACAACAACGCCACTGACTCCTAATGGGTAAATTGAGAGTTGCCTACCGTCGTTTCAAGACTTAAATGGAATATTTAAGTCAAATTTCTTGCAAATTTGGCGAACCATATTTTATAGTTCTTGAACAGAAAATGTCAATAAAATAAACACTTAAGGACTACAAGCTAAGAAAATGCGTTAATACAACCGGGGACATAGCGGCAACAAATCTTTACCGCACACGTGCGACGCGTACTACAAGGTAATAAATGAATGAATAGGCTCCCTCGCCTCTAAACGCATATTAGTAAAGAACTTATCCTTTTAAACAGTATCCGACTTATAATTTAGTAGTATAAGGACTATTTAATACATCTATGGAATATAAAACCTACTTTATTAAAACGTAGTATTAATATCTCAATATATGTGTATAACAAGAAAAAAAATATTGATAATATTAAAGACGTGACAACATAGTCTGGATGAGGAAGGCTCGGTCGACTGTACCCAGAAGTAAACATGTGTACAAAAAAGATTGTTTGACCGCGTTGAGATGTAAATAGTGTAGTCTATATTTTATTTTAAGTCTATGGGCTCACCCCTATAACTTCTTTATTTTATCAGATAAAAAAACGAGATTTGGTATGTTAGTATATAACATAAATTAGGATTGATTGAAGTATTCAATTGTTTTCGATCACTTCCTGTTTCACCGGAAATTACTATAACTTTTAATTTTTAAATGGCATCTCCGTATTTTTTATTTTATTCAATAGAAAATGACACTCTGAATCGAATGATATATTATATGTCGACATTCTCGCTTAAAAAACAATCGTATTTTACATTTCAATCTAGAGTGTCATGGCTGTGTTAAAACACTAATTTTTAATTTCAGAACCTTGGAAAAATAGTTATGATGGTCTAATGTTTTTTGTGTCTTATCCTGGCCGATTAAAAGATAGGCCCAGCAATTAAGAGGGATGGCTCATTAGCATATTTGGAAAAAAAAATTACGAATAATTTGGTACCACACACTTAATATTTTGGAGCCAAATTGTCGTTACATTTTTTAAATTTAAAATGCCAAAAGTTGACATATGCTGTCATTCTATTTAGAATATAATTTTCTATCAAATGAAGTAAAAAAATACCAAGTCATTTAAAAATCAAAAGTTGTAATCATTTCCGGGGAAACAGGAAGTGACCGAAAATAATTGAATACGTCAATCAATCCTAATTTATGACATATACTAATATACCAAATCTCGTTTTTTTATCTGAAAAATAAAAAAGTTATAGGGGTGGGTCACTTTTGAGACGCTCCCGGTAAAATAAAATTGGAACAAAAATGATACTCACCCTTCTTTATCGTACGTAACTTGCGTAAGGAATTTTCGGAGGGACTCTTTGTCCTGAATCTTTGCGAACTTGGCCTCTAGTTCTTCCGGTTTCGTGTGATGCGTGAGAACGTTACCTTCACCGCCGACAATTTCAGCCATATACTGACGGGTGCGCATGATTACTTCAGATAATTGAAGCTGGAAAATACAAATGCAATCTTTATTTTATGTATACATATCAATTAATATTATATTTTTTTTTCATTTTATTATAATTGTCAATCTTACAATGGAGCTTTCTTGTTTATTGCGAGTTTTCCTAGAATTACCATACCTATGTACCAGACTTATCTAACTTTTCTTAATTGTACCACAGAATTAATATTCAGTGGTCGTAACACCGAATATTAAAGTCATACTAATGACTACTTGGGGAATATGTATTTGTATTGTTGATATACAGAAAATATTGGTTGAGAAGATTTTAGATATATTTAAAAGATTTTTTATTACATATGATCTCGACTTGGAGCCTGCAATTTCTCCTAAGTGTTGATCCTTCCTGGCCAACTTCCCAAGGGAAGAAAATAAGTGTTTGTTTTTCTAATTTTCCATGTTATATATTTTGCATTTCTATGGATATTTCTTATTATTGTCATATTTATTTGAAAAAAAACAGATTAAATAATTCACATTAATTTTATTTTATGCTTTTATTTTGGAGTTAAATTAACATAGGACATTTCGTCTTAAAATGTCAATTAGGAGAAATTGCAGAATATGAGTCGATATTTCGAATTATACAGACAAAACTTTTTATCAGAAAATTTCACTCTAGCAGAACGACGAAATGTTATATTAGGAATAATAGTCGAATACGACTAATTGAACAATGAGACTAAAAATGATATACTCTAACATTATTTTTGTGTGAATAATATCGATGTGATGTAGAGTCCGAGAAACGTAATAGCAATAAGGTAGAGCTTCAAAAACAAACTTAAAATACCCGAAATGGAAAACTGGAAGAACAGTGAGGCAACCTAGTACACAGTTGACTCAAGAACGGTCCGAAGGCCTAGAAGCTGGAACTGTGGACCTGAAACAACGGATAGCCTTCCGAGTGTAAACTTATCTAAGGATGTATATTATGTGGAAGAAAAAATAATAGGCAGAGAGAAAACACCGATCAGTACAGATATCCAAGCTGCACTAAAGACACTTGATTAGTGTCTTTAGTGCCGCATGGGATTGTGTGCGAGTGTTTAGTGCCAAAATTTATGTCGGACAACCAAAAGGCAGATGCAAGGATCCAGCAAGGCATATCAATGTCATTCATCGGTTCAGTACCCGTCAGCGGTGCTTGCAAACCAATTACAAAACTGGATACAAATCAATGAGTGCCCAACAAATATCTAGAACGGTAAAAAATCACCAGGAACAGAGGCAGTTGTTGAAACTAGGCAAGTGTTAATAGAACACTCACCAAAATTTAAGGTATACCGCATAAACAACGAGCGGAAAACTGTCCAAAACAAACTGTAGTGGTGTAGTAGACCGCAGGACATTGCAAGCTCAAAAGCACTTAAACTTAAGGGGATTAACAGATGAAGCAATGAGCAGAGTCTGTCAATTAACAGAAGAAACGACAGAATACATTCTATGCCAGTGCTATAGCCTGAGAAATGTGCAGTTCTTTGTACTAAGTGATAATAAGAGCTATATGGAAGATTCAGTCACCACGTTATTAAAATTTTTAAAATGTATAAGAGCGGAGAAAGTAATCTAGATATAAGATGGCTAAAATAAATCTAAAAAAGTCGCAGTGGAATGAATAGCCAGCCACCTCCTTATAATCTAATCCAATGGCATGCAGGTCCATTGTACCGCAAAATCTGGGTATATAGCCACTTCAGAAAACTTTAAAAAATCAATATTTTTTTATAAATATATATATCTTATATGACAAACCCTTATATTGTATAAGCCATTAGAAAGTTAACAGATAATCTTTCTTATTTTGTGTAAAGTATGATAGATGTCAACCAGAGGAATCAACAGAAGAACTAAGTTAGCATGGAGTATTTGTGGAAGAGGCTCAATCATATTCTAGTCTGGAATGCCACTTTGTGTAAGGAGGAAAACATTCGACCAATGTGTACTACCAGTCATGACTCATGCATGAGAAACCTGGACACTTAAAACGGAGATCATAAGGAAACTGCAGGTCGCACAACGCTCAATGGAACGAAATATGTTGGGAATAACCAAGAAAGACCGTAAAAGAATACAGATATACGACAAAAGACCCAGATAATAGATGTCACCCACAGAATCAAATCCCGCTAGTGGCAATGGGCAGGACACCTGGCAAGAAGGACAGACAACAGATGGACCTCAAAAATTACAACATGGTGCCCATGAGGAATTAAAAGACCTAGAGGAAGACCAAACCTGAGATGAGACCATGATATTAGGAAATTAGCAGGGATAACTTCTAGAGAGCATCTAAATATGTGAGGGAGGCTACACCATAATGGAAATGGTTGAATAAGCTGAGAATGATGTGTGATGATGATGGTAGATGAAGACAATTAGAATGTAAAATGTTCTACATACATTCTAAGACAATTAATTCATATATTTATCTAGTCTCAACAAAGAATGTATCAACATTTTAATAACATATATTCAATATGAGAGGAAAGTTTCGGATCCAATGATTATTCCCAAATTAAATGGATGGATTTTGGGAAAACAATTCGCTGAAATGCATTTCTGAATATGATTGTCCTGAATTTCAGTCGCATAGGTTCGTAATTTATTTGCCAAACACATAAATTTCAGTTAACTCCAGATCTCTAAGCTATATTTTTTCGGAAGCGTTGGAAAATTTTTGAAAATATCATTTTATAAAATAATTTGAACTGGTAATGTTCTTTGGTTATGACACCGAACTTGTATAATTTTACTATTTTATAATTAATAAATTAACTTTCTGCGATCATCATAAACACTGTTAGTTAATTTTCATTTTAACTAAAGTGTACATCAATTTAACTTAACAATAAATTGATTAAATACTCAAAAGTAACACCAATAAGTTGGTTAGGTAATACATGTTAACAAAAATCAATTTGTAAATTTCTAATAAAATAATTTAATCTATATAATTCAATCGAACTAGATTAATATCTTATCACAAAAAACCCAAATAATTCCAATTATTGTATAATTATAACTATATACTTACCAATAACTGAGGTCTACCCAGGGCAGTCAGTTTGATAGCTGTAATGCCAGTACCATAGGTGGCTCCTGCAACAGAAGAGATGAGCATTTATCCAGCAACAATGTTGCTTTTCTAACACAAATTCTCACACAACATAGTTATTCAGCGCCCACTAAAGTAATATTTTACTATATTTTAAATTGTGAATGCAATGCAAATATCTTAATATAATGGTGCAATATTTTTTTATATAAAAACTAAGATCTATAAGTTTATAAAAATTTGTTAAATATAAAATATTTTAGTTTCTAAAATAGAAGTTTAAAAGGAAAGTTTAATCAATAAAAATATTAAGTTGGACTTGTAAGATTCATATAAAGCAAAATTTTTCAACAGAAGTAATAGAATACAGATGTACTCCCTGTGTCTTTTTAAAATTGAAAACTTGTAATTTTTATTGGACAATCTAGTATTATTTGCTTTATAGAGGGTGCTCCGAACTGTATTCCGGAAACTTTGGCAGCATATTCTGCACATAAAAATAAGTAAAAACGTTCGTATATGTCCTAGAATGCTTCGTTTCGGACATACAGGGTGTAGACGTTTCATTTTTATTTCGATTTTTTCATAATAATTTCTGAACTAAATTCGTTATGTGGATGAAAATTAGTATCTGTTTTTTTTTAATATGAGAAATTTGATTTGGATATAGTAATTTTGATTTGGAAGTCAATATATGACTCCTACTAGGGGGCGCCACCTACATATTTTTTAACTTTTTTGAAAAGTAATAACTTTTCGTCCGCCCCTGTATTACACTACTGACTGAAAAAACATACACTTGTGCCTTTTTCCACGTAAAAAACGTCTCTTGGTAAAAATCGTGGCGAGCAACCGTTCTCGAGATTATAAATATTTTTAATAATCAATACATAATATGTCATCAATGAGAAGAATTAAAGGCCTTTCACTAGAAAGATATTTGACTGAACTAATAATTTTCCAGATATTTTAGTATCACAGTTCAACTGAAGCTATTTTAAAATCTAACTGCAAGTTTTCTAGAAACTTCGCGATTTTTCAAAAATCGTATTTAGGTTAAAACAAGCAGTTTTTTAGAGAAAATATTTTTTTAGAGAACTAAGTGTTTTTCAGAACAATTTCAGTTATTTACTTACTTTTTACAAAAATAATATTACTAACTAAAAATGATTACATTAGTTTACAGTCTAGAATTTATGATAACTCGTTTTAACCGAAATACGATTTTTCAAAAATTACTAAATTTCGAGAAAATTGACAGTTAGGTTTTGATAGAGCTTCTGTTGAACTTTTGGTATCAAAACGAAACTTACTGATTTACTCAAATGCAGGGTGCTACAAATTCGAGGTACGAGCATTGGTAACTCGGTAACCGTAATAGATACGAACATGGTTAAATTGGGATAAAGTTGCGCTTTGAGATGTTTACCAAGATGCCAGCAAAAAAGTTTTAAAAATTTCATGGATTGCTGAGTTTTTTTGGAAAAAACGGATATTTTTAAAAATAAATCTTATTTTTTCCTGTCGTTACTTTTTAGAAAATCAAAAAACTAATTGCACATTTTCATAGCCACTTTATTAGGGCTATCTGATAGTATTTTTAGATTTTCAAATCAGCTCATACATTGTGAGATACAGAGGCCAACTTAATTTTTTTAAATACGGAAATGCATTCTTTATTTCAGATTTTGAAAGAACTCGGTCTCCTGAATACAATGATATGCCACACTTAATATTTTTTTCGTTTTGGAAATTTGGTCACAATTAATTTAAACTAATGTCAAGTCCGGCTCTGTTTTTTTTAATATTTATTAAAAAATTAGTTAAGTTTGAAAGCTTATCAATATCGTTACAATATTGATAAGCTTTCAAACTTAACAGTGAGTGGAATACGGAAAATCAAATGCAATAAAATAATGAAAAATAATATAAATAAAATGTAATGTAAACAATCAAATCATTTCCCCGGAAGATGGGTTGGAAATGGTAGAACAGTATAATGGCCAGCGAGGTACCTGGACAGTCTGATGACGTCAAGTAATTCGACAGGTCCAAATTTTACAAAATTGAAATCAACACATCCCGGCAGTTACAATAAAGAGTACAAAATGCATTCGAAAGTATAAGATCTATTTAAAAGCTATAAATAAAATTGAACGAAAAATAAATTTGTGCAATATGGAGGGTGGTAACCCTTTCGAACATGTAGACTATGTAAAGCATTAGAAACTAGTTTAGAGAAGTTAATTTATTCATAATAACTACGATAAATATTGTACAAATTATTAGATCGTACACTGAGAATTTCAAATTCACAATAAGAAAAGTTAAAAATAATATCTTTAAATTGTTGATCTGGATATTATTTATTTGAATCTTTCAATTGGCTCAATTTTCCTTATTCAATGTTAATTAACACTGATCAATATTGTTGCGATGAATATAATCAGATTAAATAATTTAAAAAACAGAGTCGGACTTGAATTTTGAAAGTTTTTAAATAATAATTAAATAGTTTTGTTGCTGTTAAGGTACCCAAACAAAAAAAAAGTATAAAGTGTGGCATATCATTGTACTCAGGAGACTGAGTTATTTCAAAATCTGAAATAAAAAATGCAGGTCCGTATTTAAAAAAAATTAAGTTGGCCTCTGTATCTTACAAATTATCAGCTAATTTGAAAATCTAAAAATACTATTAGATAGCCCTAATAAAGTGGCTATGAGAATGTGCAATTAGTTTTTTGATTTTCTAAAAAGTAACGACAGGAAAAAATAAAATTAGTTTTCAAAAAAATCCGTTTTTTCCAAAAAACTCAGCAATCCTTGAAATTTTTAAAATTTTTTTGATGGCATCTTGGTGAACAGCCCAAGGCGCAACTTTGCCCCAATTTAACCATCTTCGTATCTATTACGGTTTCCGAGATACCAATGCTCGCACCTCAAATTTGTAGCATCCTGTATATCTAGTGAACACGTTTAATTTTTGTCATTGATGGCACGTATTGATTATTAAGAATCCAAATATCTTGAGAACGGTTGCACGCGGCGATTTTTACCCAGAGACATTTTTTACGTAGAAAAAGGCACAAATGTATATTTTTTCACTCAGTAGTGTAATACAGGGAGGAACGAAGTGTTATTACTTACTCAACAGTTAAAAAATATGTAAGTGGCGCGCCCTACAAATAGGAGTCATATTGACATTGGCATCAAATTCCTCATGTTAAAAAACCCCCAGATACTAATTTTCATCCAAATACCGAATTTAGTTTAGAAATTATTAAGAAAAAATTGAAATTACAATAAGTTTATACGAACTTTTTTATTTATTTTTATGTGCAGAATATGCTGCCGAAGTTTCCGGAATATAGTTCGGACCACCCTGTATATAAAACTGTAAGAAGAAAAGTAATTTAAAAAAGTATTATACACTATAACTGACCCGTAAAACCAAAGCAATACAGTACATTCAGATGCCTACACAATATACAGTTTATGAACAAGCATTAATACCTTAGAAGGGAACGAAAATACTATAATTTATCCTGAAAGCCTTAGTAAAATAAAATAATGCAAATTGGTCTAAATAGAGTACAGTGTTGTCGATAAATTTAGTCTTTTTCAAAACTACAAAAAAATATGCAATTTAGTAAGTCTCGCTACTTACCTTTCGAAAATATACTGTACCCCAAAAATAATAATTTATCTAAAAGTTAAATTTGAAAGCTATCACAATTTGTCAATACTTAGCCTAATAGTTACCACTCAAAAATGACTTCGTTTCGGATTTGCCAATTATAATCTTACGGACAATTTTGCACGTTGTAAAGTTAAAGGCTTCCAGATTTTTTTAGAATTTTGGTATAAATTTCGCGCTCGGGTGTAAGGGGGAGCTTGGTTTTTCTACATTACCTGGTTCGGTCTTCTGGTAGTCTAGATAAAAAAACAATTGAACAATTATAATAATTTCCGAAAATCAAATCATACAAAACAATGAATATCTAAAGAAATCTTATTTCGAGTTGCTACATTTAATTTCAAAATGCTTCAATTTAGAGGAAATCACCAAAAACATTGTTTTTTTTCAAGTTTATAATGAAGGAAATTAAAAAAGCTGGTGACTAGTAATTTTTAGCGGGTGGGAGCAAGAAAATTGCAATACTGCCCTTTCATAAATAAATATCTCTTGGCAAGTGCACTGAAAAATATATTTAGACTTGTTAAATAACCACTAGAATATTTTTGCATATACATTTCATTTCGATACAAAACACGATCTATTTAAAAATTTAAACTAAATAGTATACCTGTTTAACTAAGTATACCTGTTTAAATTTGACACTGTACTATAAAAGTATGAATGTTTGAAAAGGCTTTATCTAAAATACGATTCAAAGAGTGAATTTTTGTCCTTTGTTCAGTATACTCTGTTTTTTTCTCTCAGGTAAGATTTCGACAGACGATGACGAAGTAGAAAAGCAGATGACGTCCCATACCAATAATCTATTTATTTTACTAAAAAAAAGTTTCTAATATTTTTTAAATTAACTATTGGATGGGTTTAAAATATATATCCGTCATGCGTCGTCTCTTGTTATTTCTTGTTGTTTTAACCAGTTTTATTGGTTTATTTCAAAAATGACAGAACATATTTCAATTTTAATGGTTTGACGGAACGATGAACGACAAACAGACGCCGATGCGTATGAACTCGCCTTTAGATTTTTGAGGCTTGTCAAAGTCTTGCCAAATTATAGGTTATAATATTGTGTCAACTTATGTCAAACGTCTTATTATGTCAAATGTCTTATGTTTGTGTTTTGGAAGATGATGCATTTTGATTTGTGTTATTACGTGTGTTTTGTATCTTTTGAAGTCAAGTGTAGGAAAAATCGAGGGAAAGCACAGTTTATAGTTACCATCAATAAAGTTTGTATACCATCTCGTCGTAGATAAGTGCATCTCGTATATGCTACAAGGATCGTACTAAACATATACTACTGGAGTAGCTGTAAAATATCGACATCACACGATAGGTAAATAAGGGATTTTAGTACTGCAGAAAAATTATGTCAAAAGGTACTGCTTTAACAAAAATTAAGTTTAAAGTTAATTAATCAATCTTTAAGGTATAAAATTTAGTAAGTGTTATTATTAATAAAATAGTTTGTTTTATTTATGTTGTTTTATTTATTCCCGAGGAATATTACAAAATTTGTATTTGTACATAAGTTATATTGATAAATATAATAATACATGCGGGAAGTTTCTTCAAGCTTGAAAATAAGAAATAGTTCTTTTTTACATTTTTTTGGTATGAGGTGTTTTGTATTAACACATACCGCTTTTTTTTTTAAATAAAATAACTCGATTACATTTTTTCAGTTCTATACAGTTTTTTTCACAATATTTTGAAGTAATCACTTATCAGTCAAATTTTAAATATATTAATTCCCTGCTAGGCGTTCTAGTTGTACCAACTTATTTCTTTGCAAAATAAAATAAACTACTTTGAAATTAAAATGACAGACATATTTATCAGTGTCAAGGATCTTGTCGTTGGACAGACTATAGATATTTTTTTAGTAATAAAGTAAAATTATTTTTGTGATACTAATGCAAATTGGCATTGTTAATTTTCATTTGAATATAAAAACTTTAAAATAAAAACGCATAGCTTTTTTAAAGGAAAACTGTATCAATTGGAATATATCTCTGGTTGCGTCATGGAGAATATAATGCAATAATTTTTTGGCAGTGTTCTAAGTAGTTCAGCCAAAACTATTAAACGTAAAGCGATGCTCCTCTGACAACTACAACATACCTCACTTCTAACTATTGACCTTAGGCGTTTCCGCTTTTTCAAATAATACAATAATTAGTATTACTAGTATTATTAATATCAAATTACGGAAACGATATAGTATAAAATTGAGCATGTTCAAATTCTATTAAAAACCTTTTACATTAAAAAATATTCACGGTCGACAAAGTCTATATACAGGGCATCCCACAATTAGTGCGACAAACTGAAAGGGGTCGTAGAGGGCATCAAAACAAGTCATTTGAGTATAGGAACCCATGTCCGGAAATGTGCCGTTTTGGCAGGAGGTGGAGTGAAATGTATATTTCAAGTTACATTAGTTATTCAAAACATTTACAAAAACTGCTCAAAGTGCCGACCATTCTGTTGAAGACACAAATGCATACGCCTCACGGTGGGGTATGTATTAGCATGAAAAAGGTGATCGAAATTCGAAAAAGCAAATGTGTTTAAGATTTCCCAAAAAAAAAAGATAAATGATAAGTTAAATCATCTCTGCCGTGAATGGCGTTGCTATGGGTGTGTTTAGTCGCATTCATTTGTTTCAACGAAACGTCAAAGTTGTTACTTCCCACAGATAAGAGGTAAATGGCTAAATCTTATGTTTAAAATTATAAATTGTTGTTGTTCTTGTGCTCTTTTTACGTTTATATTATTGTTTTGATTGAAAATGGCTCAGCAAGGTGCAGGTATGTATTCTACAAAAACGTATTATTTATTTTGATATTCTCTATACTAACGATTTTTTTTGCAACTAGAAGTTAGGCGTTTAGAAAATTTGATTAAATTTGTGACATTCTTATTATACTTAGAGACTTAGTTGCGCATTTCGAAGAATTCAGCATATTGTCTATATACGTTTTACTTAGTAAACATTGGGCTTTCATACAGTAAAATAAAATATTGCGACTTTTTGCGATTTTGCTGATAAAATGAGAAAAACATTTTTGGTTTCCTCTAATTTGCCAATCAGTGATATACTATGCGAGGTGTAAACCGCGATGGCATTGTTGTGTACAAAGCGATCGCATTAGTGCCATTGTATAGCACAATTTGACATTAGTAGCGACTTTAGTGGTATGGGCATTGCTCGCGGATCAGTCGTAGCATTAGTAGTATTAGTTGCGATATTACTACTGGCATTAGTGGCATTGACCGTGGAAACACTGGAACAGTGATTTATATTATATTATATTCTTTCTTTTTTTAGAATCGACGAATTATCCTTTATTTTGTTCATATTATTTCCTCTTTAATTGAAAATAGCAATAATTTATACGGTCTACATAAAAAAATTTCGATCAAATATCTGTGTCAAATACCCCACTGTGCGCCTGTTCGCTGTTGATAGTAAAGCGTGCAGTCCGTGTTGGTACCTTAGTGCACGTCCAATCAAGTTCCTTCCGCTCATTTTAAGAATACCGGACATGGGTTCCTATACTCAAATGACTTGTTTTGATGCCCTCTACAACCCCTTTCAGTTTGTCGCACTAATTGTGGGACACTCTGTATAAAGTAAACACCGACCCCAGACTCTCTGTTGCCAACCATTGTATACTAGATAATGCTTTTTATTTCCAAAATCTCGAAATCTTCTCTTGAACTTTTTTGGTGAATTCGAGGGTAAATTATTAAAAAATGATTTTTTTGTAGGTATTATCGACTGAGGAAAAAATCGGTAACTATGACAGTTTCAGAATCATATTTATTTTCTGCTTAATACGATTTGTTTAAAATTCAGATGAATTTTAAGTCTAATACTTGACTTCTATCAGTTAAAATATTTACATATTATACAGAGAGATTTTCCGTATGTATGTATTATTTAGGTAGTACCGATGATTGAAGAAATAAGAAGAACCTTATGGGCGATTTCGTGGCACACAACCTGTCCGAAATGTAGCTGACGTTTCCGTCAGCCTGTCCGAGACTTAGTTTAGCTCTGCGCTGCTGCGCGCTGATACTCGTTTACAACGCAGCGTATAAAGAATACTGTACCGTAGTTCTGCTTTCAGTTGGCAGAGTGAGTGGTTGCCGAAGACGGTGTTGCCAGAACTACTGCTACATCCGTAGATTACGGATTAACGTTAATAATACGGATTTTCTATCGTTAAACAATTTAATCTAATATTATATCATTAAACAAAGAACGGCGTCAGAGTTGGCTTGGAAATGAAAATCGCTGTTATTTCATATATAAAATAATATGGTAAGTTTCAATAATCATCATTTCCAAACTAACTAAACGATTTTTTTTCGATCATACTACATATTCAGTTCCTATAAAAGAATTTTTATTTTTGTTTATTCTATGTCTAACACGAATATATGTATTTTCAATATACAGGGTGTTTCAAAACAAATGCGAAAAACTTCAGCGGGTGATTCCTTGTTCAAAATAAAGGGTAGTTTGCTTTATAAACGTTGGGTCAAAAGTCAACCATTAGGGAGATATCGCGGTACAAAGATGGCATGAAAAATAATGTTTTTATTCTTTATCTTGAAAACGAAAAACGATAGACTAATGAAATTTTATGGAAGCATTACTGTTATGAAAACATACTTTCTGGTAATTTTCTCACTTTTTTAAAATGAGTGGAAGGTGTTGAAATAAACTACCCCTATCATTCTTGTTAACGAAATTAAAAAAAAAAGATGCGATTTCCTAGCGACGTCTGCCGTCCACGTCTCGCCGCACACTGGTTCGTTTTTTGAACGTACGTGGCTAAACCTGTATATCAACGAAAAGTAATGCATCGCTTTATAGGTAAACAAACCAGTGCGCCGCTGATGACCAGTGCGCCGATCGCAGATGTGGCTAGGAAATCCGATCTTTAGGTTGCCTAACCTTCCCAACTTTTTCACTCAACGGTAGTACCCTTGTAGTGCCAATTTAATATAGTAAAGCAATAAAAAAACTCACAGATTTCGCAATCGCTGCAACTATCAGAGACATTGAAATAATAACACCACATATAAAACATAATTAACGTTATATATTTGCAGCTAAACTTGATATAAAAAAACACCATTACTAATAATAATAACTAATAATGATTAGAACAAAAAAAACACTTAATAGAGTTATTTTGTTTTATTTTAGGTTAGT